GGCCGCGACAGAGTGGGGTGGGGCGGCGACGGAGTGTAGACGACGGAGGAGCGGCGGGGGAGGGGGCGAATCAGGCGGCGACGAGGCCGAATCGACGGGGGGAGAAAAGGAGGAAAAATCCGCCGATTCGCGGCTTCGGGCAGTGGCCGATGGTGGACGTCGGAATCGGCAGCGGGGCGACGACAGGGCCGGATCTGGCGCAGGGGCGACTGCTCGTGGGTGGGTGGCCGGCGACGGTGGTGTGGCGGGAGGTGAGAGGAAGAAGGGAGGGAAGTGAAAGGAAACGATGGTTGGCACGTGGCTGTGGCGGGAGGTGGAGATGTATATTTAAGTGTTGTATTTTACATCTTTGGGAGGCGGAGATGTATTTTTTTGCATCTTTTTGGCGTCTGAAGATGCAAAAGTTAGGTATTTTTACATGTGCATTTCTGTTGGGATGCTCTTAGCGCACAGGATGCGACCGGCGCCTAGCACCGCCCTTTCCTTTGGGGAAACATTTCAGAACGGCGTGCCGGCCGAACGATTTGGCTGGTCACTCGCCCATGCGGATGCCACGCAGCACAAGGGCCCGCACGCAGTCATCTTTCCCCTATCCTCTCATCCACACACATTTCATCCGCGCATGCTTCGTCTCTGGATTTCTCTTCCCCATCTTCATCTCCGCGGACTTCTCTGCCTCTCTCCTTGTCCTGCCTCCGGCGAGCGTCGCAGCTTCTCCGGCGAGGACAACACGGCACAACGGGGACAGAGGAGGAAGCACGCCGGGGAGCTGAAGCCGGTGGACGGAAAAGCTACATCCGGCTACGCGTGAGCTGCAGTTTCTCTTCCCCTGTCTCTATCTCCGCGGACCTCTCTGCCTCTCTCCTCGTCCTGCCTCCCACGAGGGTCGCGGCTTCTCCGACGAGGTTAACACGGGAGGACGGGGACAAAGGAGGAAGCACGCGGGGAAGCTGCAACCGGTGGACAGAAAAGCTACAACCGTCCACCAAAAAAGCTACAACCATCCACCAAAAAGCTACAACCGACCACACCAAATGTTGGAGCCGACCAGGGTTGGAGCTACAACCAACAATTTTGTTTGCTATAACTGACCACACCAGATGCTGGAATCAGACGTTTTTTTGCTACAATCGGTGTGAGCAACGACGGTGGCAGTTATTTTTGCTGGAACGGGCATCTAGATTTGCTGGAACCAGTGATCAAATTTGCTACATCCGTGATGGGTGGGGGTGCGAAGACGGGTTGCGACCGGCGGCCACAGGAAAAAGCTACAACAGTATTCTAGAGCTGCAATGGCGATGCACGGGAGCTGCAACCGTGGTTTTGTTTTGCTACTACGGGCGACCAATTTGCTGCATCGGTGACAGCGAGACGACATGGCCGCCGGCATGGCGTGCCGCAACCAGGCAAGGGGAGCTGCAAACCATGGCCACAAGAGCTGGAACCGCAACCCAGCGGAACTGCAACAGCGGTCCAGTGGAGCTGCAAGGCGACCCCCCTGTAGCTGGGATGTTGCAACCGTTGTTCAGCGAGCTGGAACCGCGGTGCAGTGGAGCTGCAAGGGGGGGGGGAGGGCAACCTCTTGATTTTTGGGATGATGCACACGTGGACCGGCGGAGCGAGATCGGTGCTGGAACTAGTCCGATGGAGCGCCGGCGACGCTACTCCCCAAAGTTGCGGTGGTCACCACCGGCAGTGTGGGAACTTTCTATCAAGGATGCTGGAAACGTCCGGTGAAAAAGTTGCAACCACTCGACGGCGATGGGAGCGCGGCGGCGCAGGGGCAAGCGCAGAGTCATGACTGGTCAGTGAGGGGAGGAAGTAGGAGATTTAGGGGAGCTGTCGAGAAGAAGAAGACGACTGCACGAGGGGGCCAGGGAAGGAATCATGCGGTATAGACGTGTGCATCGTGCGGCCAGGGGCTGACCGGCCGAACGATTCGGCCGGCGCACCGGCGCCTATTGGTGCCCTTTCCTTTGACGCGTTGCTAGTTGTTGCTGTTCCCACACCACCGCCCACTACACATGTTCGACGAAATTCCCCCGCGAGTTCTCCACTAAGATTCGCCCGCATCTTCTTCGATTCCTTCCTCAGTTTGTCTCGGAATCCGCCAAGATCGGAGGTCTCGCCGGAACACGGCCCTGGCCGTACCGACCCCGGCTGGATCTGCGGGCTCAAGAGTTATTGATGGTTCTTGGGATCCAGAGGGTGTGGCGGAGGAGTTGTCGGCGATGAGCAGGCTGGCGTCGGAGCTCCACCGGTTGCGGCGGTCGCCATGGGAGGTGCTGTGCTCCGCGCTGGTATCATGCGGCCTGGTTCTCTTCTCGCAGCTCGCCGTGGCCATAGTGCCCCGCCTCCTCCCATCCATCTCCCTCCTCGCCATGCTCCCTGTCGCAGGTCAGTGCGTGCTTGCTTTCCTTTCCTGTGCCTCTTTTAGTGCAATTTTGACCTTGCTTCGGTTGCGTGCTGCACAGGTTTGGTATTCCTGGCGGCTATTCTGGTGGGCAGGTTCTGGAGGAGGTTCATCAGAGTGGCCGCGTCGGCCCCGCTATTCGTGCTGTTCAACGTGCTATTTTTGTGGGGCGTCTACCTATTCGTCATCCGGAGAGGTGAAATCCCCGTGCATTACATCTGTTTGGACTTTGCAGAGTGTGCGTATGTCTTTAGTGTTTGAAATTGCATATTATGTGTGTCTCCTTTTCCTTTTTTAATAGAGATAAGCATTCATTATTATAGCTCAGTGCACTGGTGGAATGCCATTTGGACGGTGTTTATTGCTTTAGATATATGCTATATTTGTGGATGGAGCTAAGAGCCGTTCCTGATGTATTGCAATTCTAGAGCATAGTTCTATTTAAATAAATATGGTAATACCTGACATTTTGTTATGATTTGGGATGGAATTGTAGATCAGGACATCAGGTGCCATAATTTTTCTAGGATCCCAGCATGTAGTTTATACTCGCCTCCTCGCATTATGCATAACTTGTTTGAAAAAATTTATGCCACTTTGGAGCAGGGTGTAGTTAAATAAGTGTATAGAGCTTCTGATAGTTTTCTAACTATACTCTAGAATATCCTTGTTCTATAACTAGCCTTATGTTTTGTAGATACCTCTTCTCTACTAGACATGCTAATTAATGCTGAGTGTGCACTGCTTCTGTGGGGACTTTACAGGTTAGCTACTCCTCTGGAACATAATTTTTGCGATGCACTTACCGATCTCTAAGCTCTATTTAGTCACTAAGGAAATTGTTCATTGTAAACCTTAAACTATGGTTCTCGTTCCAAGATGGACTCTGAACTTTCAAACATTGAAAGTGGAACTTTGAACTTTCTAATCCTGATCCTAACCTTGAGCTTATACTTATTCGGCACACCAGGAAAAAGGGTGTGGTGGGGGAGATGATGGTGAGGAGAAATAGAGACATGAGTGGAATGGGGCCGGCGATGGAGATGGACACTGGCAAGGAAGGGAAAACAGCTAGGGGAAGGGAGGTTGTTAAGCTTCATGCACCAGCCAACGCAACCAAAAGTCTGAACTAATGGAAAGGCTAGGCAATCCACATATACACTTCAACACCCACTCTCACGTGTGACGCGGAAAGAGAGGCCTATACGTGGACACAAAGGCGGGAACAACAATTTTTGGATAAATTGCAAAAGCCAGGACTTGAACTCAAGACCTTGGGCCATACCATGTTAAGCTTCATGCACTAGCCAACACAATCAAAAGTCTGAACTGATGGAAAGGGCTAGGCAATCCACATATACACTTCAACGGTTGCATCGGAGGTAGCTCGGCGATGAGAGAGAAATGGGAGTGAATTTGGGGAGGGCTAGGAATGTCAGTGACAAGAGTGTGCGAGGATATGAGTTTTTGATTGTGAATTTGTGATCGCTCTTTTCGTGTTATGTGGGGTGAACCTCGAGGCAAGGATTTGTCGTTGTTGGCCCGATCTTTCACGGCACGAACCTCCATCGCAGCAGGTTTACGAAGATGTTTGCAAGTCCCACGGAAACAACACGCCAACCCTTCGATCTAAAGGAATAACGTGGACGAACCGTATAGGCTCAGCTTGTAAACGCGTTGCAGGAACTCACATGCCAGTAGAGATTTTGACAAGATATCTCTAAACACGATGTCCTTCAAGCTTAAGAAATCCCAAATAATTAGAATCCTCACGCTGATCCTCTCTTTGCTGGGCAGGAATAAAAACGTAAAAGATCTAGATTTGACCCTGACGTAGCAAGTAGTACTGTAAATAAACTCTTCAGTCGTAGATTCCTTATCATGCACAACATAGGCTGTCTTCTCTGGTTTAAACCGATGGAAATTATTATCCATCAACGTGACTCACCAATGCATCATGTTCCTCATGCATGCATGGTTGTACGCACATAAATGGAAGTACCACAAAATGCCTACTTGTAATTTCCATTAATTCTTATGTGTCCTTCTCCTCTTCCAGATCAAAACGTATGTACTTTGGTACACGTACTTCTCCTGTTTTCAAGCTTGGCGTAACAGTAACGTCAACAATAATTATAGGTTCACCTTGAACACCACGCGTAGCATATTCAGTCATGTGTGTAGACGTGGCCGTATCATCGTGGGTGTGTCAAAGTCAAACAAGCTTCAAGGTCCAAGGGTCGGGCTAGGATTATAAGATAAGGGTTCAGATTTTGGAGATTGGAAGTTCGAGGTTCATCTTGGACTCCATAATGAAGTTCAGGCTTTAAAACAACAACAACAAAAGTCCATTTGGACATACTCCGCTTAACATTTATTGGCCTTAGCATACAACTGCCTCTGGGATTAGGGGTTTAGTTTGATTTTTTTATTGCAGGATTCTTTCTGGTGATCCTGGCATTGTTGCATACGAATCTTCATTTTTGGAAGAGGCTGGCTGCAAGGATTTCGTGGATGCTATATGCTCGAGTGAGGTGTTGAGAAAGTAGAGTTTTCAATGAAGTTGTTATATTAAGTTGCTAACCTGAAATCTGGACGTCGTGCATTAACATGCTGAATCTTTTGTACTTTTGGTGTAGAAGTACCCATCACTCTCAAGGGTGAGGCATTGTAACTGTTGCAAAGCAAATGTTAGAGGTTATGACCACCATTGCCCTGCATTTGGTAATTGCATAGGTACTATATTGCATTTTTTTAGTTTTGCTTCTGTTTTTGCATTATAGATAGATGCACACTTTAACCTGCATACCGTGTTTTGCAGGACAGAAAAATCATAGGCTATTTATGTCACTTTTGACAGGATTTGTTGTTGCTGAATCGACATATATAATGTGTTCAACTAAATGTATGTGGCTTTTTATCTCCTTCACGTCTGAAATAAATTAACTGTTTCCCGGGATAGCTGGTCTACATGCTTTCACAGCTGGAAATGTCTTTTTTTCTAATTAAAGACATTGTACATACATTTACTCTTTTTGGACTTTCACGTTTCTTATATCCAAATAGTATTTGCAATCATGGATTTCGCTGCATCTGTAACTGTTTTTATTCTATTTTACAGATATAACTAGATGCATAACCTCAGGAACTTTAAGAACTGAGGTATCTCTTTCCATCATCTTATTTTGCATACCTTGCCAAGTGATATTATGATTACATTGTCAAGCCAATTGATCTTTTGTTCCTTGCATGAAAGGTCTCATACATTGATCAGGTTTGGCTTATGCCCAAACGTAGAACATGGAAAGCATTTTTTTAGCAAAATCTGGGTGGCCCCAGTGTTTTGGCTAAGTTTTGTTCCGAAAATAGTATTAGAGTAGAAAACCCAAAACTTTTGCATCAAACTAGATGTTAGCAAAATTTGGTCAAAGTTAGGCAAGGCAAACTCTGTTTTTCAAAGGCACAAAACCAACAGCTCATGTTAACACGCAATGGTTGTCTTGTACTCCCCCCCTCCGCGCCCTTGTAGCTCTCGCTCACGCCCTAGGTGTACGTGCTTGCGACGCTACCCCTGTAACCGCTACCTTTTTCTACCTCCTATCTATGCAATGATACGCAAAGCTTTTGCGTATTCGCGAAAAAAATAAGTGTCGTGGTTTTAGTTGATATTTGAACTAAAACCACGACACTTACTTTGGAACAGAGGGAGTAGGCATCATGGGATTTATGATTTTCAACCAATGCTGGTCTATCTTAGTAGATTCAGATATTTAGGCACAATAAGTGCATCTGTAGTCTAGTTCGGTATGATTTTCCAGAGAACGTGTAATTCAGAGTGTTTTGAAAAACCCTGTCATATTTTAATTACAGAACATTCTTTTCAGTTTTTCCCCTATGATTCATTTGTTTGATTTGGCCATCAGATAGCATCATTGTATGTAAGGATCACTGCATGATACTTAATTTGGGCAATTTTACAGAATCATTTATCTCTAAACATGGTGATCGGCACAATGCTCTTCTCAGTCCTCCAAGTGGTATGGCAGGTTCGTTGTTAACCTCTTGGAAGCCACATTGACCATAGTTTTTGCTTCTGTAACCATTTACCTCTGCACATGAATGAGCTGTATTATTTGGAAGGAGAAAAAGCATCTCATGTGTCTGAACCGTGGCAATATTCGCTTATGAGATAGAGTTGTCTGCATGCAATCAACAATTTATCTGACAAGATAATCAGAATATATTTTTTGGATAGAATTGAGGGTAATGGCTCAACAGATCATGCTTCATGAATTACGGACAGAAAAGGAACACAAACAATGTACTGTACACTGCAGAGGTTTACAACTAGTGATATACGGTGTCATGGTTTTTCATGTCTCAACTGTACTGAAAGTGCCAACATTTATAAAATTGTATTCAGCTATGCCGATCCTGATATAGATGCACACTGAAAGCATGCAACTAGAAATACTAGTTTGCTCTCTCTAATCTCAGTCACTGGCCGCTTTTTCTATGATTGACCAAGTGTCTTAAATATGTCAGCTGGTGGATCTTTTTATTTTTGGCACAGCTTGAAATCCAGCCTTTCCCTACATTTCTGGAAACAGCCTCTTACAGAAATGTAGGGAAAGGCTGCGTACAATAGACCCAAAGTGGTCGGACCCTTCCCCAGACCCTGCGCAAGCGGGAGCTACATGCACTGGGGCTGCCCTTGAAATCTATCTTCCTATGCAAGGCCATGACTGCACTTGTGTTGCTGTGAGCCTTTGTCTAGACCAAATGTGCTGATTATGACTTTTTATGATCCATGTTGTTTCTCCTAAGTCTTGGGGTATGAATTTTGCTGCTCCTTGCCAGGTTGTGTTCCTGATATGGCATGTGTACGGCATCTGCTTCAACATCAGGACGGATGAGTGGGTAATGTCAAATTTCCCATGCTTTGGACTCTTTCTTCACCAATTGCAGGTCGTCTTCTCGTTTGCTGTTTCTTATAGCTAAGAGGTGAGATTTATCCAGATAAACTGGAAGAAATATCCTGAATTCCAAATGAAGGAACAGCCTCAGTCAGGTGCTTTACCAGTATAAACATTACCGCTGACTGATTAATTCCTCTTGTTGCTTTTTAAATTATGGTACATGTTTGACCTTCTTTTTCCAAACCACAAATGCAGATTTTGAAGTCAAGTTTGTCAACCCATACGACAAAGGCATGCTTTGTAACATTAGGGAGTTCCTGAAGCCGAAATAATACAAGTATAATCTAAAACGCACCGAGACCGGAGAACACCCACTCAAGATCCCTGAAGATATTTTTTGCCTGTTACTGTACCACTGATTCATATTCATTGGTTTGTGTATCATTTGGACTGTGGCAGTTCAGAGTCTGCCTTAATACGAGCAATTAACATTTTTTGAAAATCCTCGTTGAACGCTATCTGCATGCTGATGAATGCCGTGTCGCTGCAAATGTGATTTGGGCAGCCGCACAAGTATGGTGGTTCATCTGTATGGCAATCAGGTTATATTACTGCAAATGCTAATATTACATCTCATTGTTTTGAGCGCTACACCTTTGAGCAGGTCGTTCTGTTCCTTAGTTTCAAAATAAGTGTTGCGGTTTTAGTTTAAATTTGACAAAGGTTTACTGCATAATTTTTGCTGCCCCACTAGGCACTAGCGATAGGCAATGCAGTGGAAACTGAGATACATGGAATTATGCAAGGAATGGTGTTGGCTATACAACATTTCACTCATTGTCCAATCTGTTTCAGGCCTTATCTTGTCTATCAGGAACAGACTTGATCGTTCTGCCTATGGTCATCTCGTGGCTGAAATCAAGAAGTTGATGAGAGACAGGGAGTTTATTCCTCAGATGTTGATTAGGGATCGAAATAGAATTGCCGACCGTTTGGCAAACTTAGTCGTATAGAGTGTATCACGACTATGTGGATGCACGTAGGATCATCACGTATTGAAGATCTTTTGCCTCTTGAGTGTAATTCTCTCACTATGGAATGAAACTTCTTTCCCCTCGCGCGCAAAAAAGAAAGAAAGATAACGACGTGTCCAAAAGAAAAAAAGAGAAGACAACAACGTGCCCGAAATGACAAGGACGTGCTGCTTATCCGCCATGGCCCATGGGTAGCCGCCAGTCGGTTTAAGAAAGTGCGTTGCCGTGCGGGGAAAGCACACTCCGGACCTCTCAGCTTGCATTTGGGGATGTCTATGTTGTGTGCATCCACGCCGCATTGTGCCAAGCGTCGTCGTCTTAACCCGCCCTCTCCTCTCATGAAATCTGAACTTCCAAGTCTAACTTCTTTTTGAAAATGTAAACGGTGAAGTGAAATTTTCAAACGGGCTAGGGAAGGGGGACTCGGGGTCGTTCGCGGCAGCGCTGGTGTGTTTCCACCTTTTGGGCTCCATTTCCATTTTCTGTACCCTTTTTTTTATTGAACATTTTTTGTTGCCTTTCCTCTTGAGGAGTGTAGTGCTAGCTCTGATTCCGAAACGGAGGAGATAAAGATGTCGAGGTGTATTCCAAGCGTCCAATCATTCGTAGTTGGAAAAGAAGGGCCGAGAGAAAATAAAGGAAAGGAATTGTAACCAGATGACCGCAAGCAGCACTGAAGAAAGGGTCGTCAGGACAAGAAAGCGACCTAGGGAAACAAAGCTCAGTTTTTTCCCCCAGGAAAACACAGCACCAAGCGGAAGAGTCAATCACGCACGACGTACCCGATCGCTTTGATTTGATCGTCCTTAGCGACCACTAACCCGCATGGTGTAGTTGGTGAAACCATCCCTAGCCCCCACCGCCGAGCACCGTCCCCTCATAAAAAAATCTGTAACCATGTTTCATCCTGTTGACGGAGTTGATATTGAGAACTTATACATCGGGGAGCAACAACTGAGGGCGGGCTCCTTTGATTCAATAGGATTTTCCTAGGGTTAGAATCTTTATAAAGGAATTCTATGTTGGTCATTTGATTCATCGGACTGAATCCTATAGGAATTCTTTCGAAGGAATCATGTGTACGCTCTGTTGGAAATCTAGCATCCAGTACCCTCTTTTTACAATCTCTTTTTTTTTGTGTGTGTGACATCAACCATTCTATGCTCCCCCGATCCAAAATAAGTATCGCAGTTTTGAACTAAGGTTGAACTTGTCGCAACTTTGAATTGAGGTTGAACTCACTATTTGAATCGGAGGGAGTAAGATTCAAGTGGGCAATGTCACTTCAATCCTGTAATTTTTTTTTCTATCCCTACATTTTGAGAATCATGCAAATCAAAGAGATGTGAACGTGGCATTATGATAGTTGATAGGTTCCAGGCTTCCAGCAACAGATATTCCATAACTTCGACGAGCAGCAAGGCAAATCATTCGAGCTCTATTTTCACAAGGGAACTTTGCTCCAAAGTCCATCACCGAAAGCAATCGCTTCAACGAAGTTATAATTGATCAAAGGAAACCACCTACCAGGACGTCCTTAATGCCAACAACTAGCAACAAACTTCTCCAGCGAACAAGGAGATCTAGATCTGAGAAACGGAACAATTTTTCATCATAGCAGGTAGATGACAGATGTGACATGCAGTACACTGCCAACAGGTATACTAACAACAACCGGGGGAAGTAGCACCAAGCGGCCGACAATATGCACAGGTCTCTAGTACTATCAGGTACTATGAAGGAACATCAGCTCAGATTATGTATTCAACTATAACCAACCCGTAGATGCCGCATTTGGTTCCAAACAAATAGAATTACATATATATAAGAGACCAAAAGGTTTGATCCAGAGACAGGGGACACAACAACTGATGCTGGACACAGCCCCGAGGAGTAAGACCACAAATACAGAACAAAATTCACAGCAACTGTAAGGATTTGAACAAAGAATAGCTCAGTAAGTGGGGTAGTAATACCCTGTATTCGCCATTGGCGCGTTTGGCATCCCGTATGGCATGGCTGGGTTTGAGCCGAAGCCGTTGTTGTAGGTCCGATCGAGCTTGGCCAAGCTCGACGGCCCCTGCATGCCATCCCGTTGGTACTGCTGCCACATCATCTGCTCCTGTGTCAAGAACTGCTGCTTCTTCTCCATCTCAGCCATCTGCACATAGGATGGTGGTGCAAAGGTAAGGGATGCCGCGAAAGGATCTCCACCAACGTTCTGCATCGAACCGTCTGGAGCTGGAAGAGCCAGCATCTGTGTCTTCTGTCCAGGCGCAGGTAGGGCAACACTGCTGGAGCTCCCACTTGTCGCCTGTGCGTTGACATGCTGACGCACAACACCTTGGTCGTACATACCATTCAGTAGCAGATTATCCATACCACCTGTCATTACAGCCTTCTGCTTGGACAAGTTGCTAGCCGTCTCCACAAGGGCGAGTTCCCAATCGGCCTTACCGGGCTCAGCCGCAGGATTCTGCCACGCAGAAGTCACTTCGTTGCCACCATTGGAAGGGAAGGCCTCCCATGACCCATTGCTACCACCAGCAGCAGGTGGTCCTTGGAAGAGGGCCAGAGCAAGCCTATTACCTTGCTCGTCTGCACTCACAGTGTCTTCTCTAAGATCCACCAGATCACCCTGGGGCTGCGGCGGGGGCTCTGGCTTCACCTCTTCCTCCACCTTCTCAGGTTCAGGCTCCTTGTAGTCCTCTGGTGCAGGAAGCGCCTTGATGCTGTTCATGTCCGGCTCTGGCTCTTCCTCCTTGACAGGCTCCGGCTCAGGCTCCTGTGGTGGGCTCTTGGGGCGCTTTGCCCGGTCCCTCATAAACTCCTCCAGTGTCTCCAGTAACTTATCAGTGACCCGCTGCACCTCTGGGTACTCCGATGATCTCGCTACCCCGGTGTCCTTACACCAAGCATAAAATGAGCAAAGCTCATCAATCTGCTTTGCCGCACTGGCATATGCCTCAAAGGCCTTGACACAATCAGCATATTCCATGTCGAAGAACCTGTCCAGCAGCACCGCAAGTACCTCGCAGATATCGGCGTAGAGCTGGAAGCTCTCCCTCGCCATCTGATACAGTGCAACCAGCACCATCCTGCTCTGCTTCGCGCCACCTGTGGGGCGGCAGGCAAGGAACCTGTCAAGCAGCTGCTGCAGGTGGTGCATACGGCTAAGGACCCGCTCCGGCTTCATATCCCTCACAGGGGTAGGTGGCCTCTTGTCATCAGAGTTGGCGCCATTCCTGCTGTCACGGTTATCATCGTACCCTCCATACCCATTCCCTGGAGGGGAGGTGTACGAGGGTGACCGGCGGCCATACGGGTCAGGAGAGCCCCAACGGTCACGCGGGGATGGCCCGTTCAGGCTGGCGCTTCCATTAGCGTTGGAGCCCTGCTTGCGCTCGTGGAGGAGGAACTCGAGGCGCTGGTCGAGGTAGAGCGCATAGGTGCGGACGAAGGCGGAGTGGTCCCACGAGCCAGAGTGGGCCTCGTCACGGAAGTCGGAGAGGTTGAGGAGGCGGGTGCCCCGGCGCGTGGCGTGGAGGAGCTCCCGGTGGAAGAAGGGGTCGCCGTCGGTGAGGAGACGGTGCACGAGCATGAGCGACTTGAGCGCGACGACGTAGTCGCGGGTGCGGGAGAGCCTGCGGGCGCAGCCGGCGACGGCGGCGGCGACGTGGGCGCGGGATCCGGAGGTGAGGTGGAGGATCTCGCGGATGTGGCGCTCCTCGGCCGGCTCGTCGTCGTGGCTGGTGGTCTTGACGATGAGCACGTCGAGCTCCGGCGCGATGTTGCTGGTGACCTTGGCGAGCCCGATGCTGGTCTGGTCCTTGACGGCGCCCAGCGCCTTCCGGATCGTGCTGGACGACATCTCCGCCGCCTAATCCTCCTCCTCACCAACGAACCAACCACCAGCGGCGGCAAGCTGCCGGCCGGTCGCTTGTAGATCTGACCAAAAAGAAGCACTACATGAGCCCCGGAGATTTCATCAAAGCCAGACGCAGATCCTTAAACATTTTGCAGGCCCGCTTTTAATTGGAAACACGTAAAGATATCTACTCTACCGGAGGTCGAGATCCCCGGACCCGAGAGGCGAGATTTGCTCTGGTGGGCCTACCATAAACTCCGCTCTCGATGCTTATCATCATCTAATCTAGACTAGATCGGCTACGTTAGGTAGCTACTCCTACTCCGCAGCCGACGCAGCAGCCGCAGAGGTAGGAACAGAAGCCACCTCCGGCGCAGAGGTAGGAACAGAAGCCACCTCCGGCGCAGAGCTAGGAACAGAAGCCACCTCCGGCGCAGATCCAGGGAGCGAGATCGGACGGAAAAGGGAATACCTTTGCGACAGGCGCAGATCCGGAGCGTCGGGTGCTGGGCTGCGCAGGAGATCTGGGCGGGCGCGGGAGGGAGCAGCTCGGATCCGAGAGCCTCTCCCCTCTCCCTCTCTCTCCCCCGTCTCCCTCGCTGGCCGGGGGAGTTTGACCCGGGCTTTTAGAGGAGGAGGCGGCGGGAGGGAGGGAGGGTAGGCCGGCTGAGGTGGTCTGCGGGGGAGACGAGGCGAGAGGCGGAAGGGGGAAGAAATGGTGTGTGGTGGTGTGTTGGGGGCTCCCGGGCGTTTGGTGCCTTGCTGTTTTCAGATTTTTATTTCGGGCGCGGGAGGAGGCAGGCAAGGAAAGCAGCGAGCTTCGCGTGCCTTCCTTCCGTCCGTCTTGGTCGCGCCGACGCGCACCCTGCCCCTGTGTCGGTCGGCGGCTCGGCGCCTACCCCCGTACTACTTTTTACCTCCTTGCGCCGACGTGGGAGGGCACGAGGTCAATGCGGCGACGCTATGCCAGCCCCGCATACGGTGCGGTGCGGCGGTGATCATGCAAAACGGTGCCAGCTGCCGCCGCGCACGCCGGGGGCGTGACGCCGGAGGGTCGGGTCGCCGTGCCGTTGACGACGGCTTGCGGCCGCGCCCCGTCACGTCCACAGTCCGCACTCTACCGCGCGCGCTGTCGCTGTCGTGGGTAGGGCGATCTGGTGCTTCGGACCGACGGACCATTGATTTGGTTCTCAATGGAGACTGTCCATTTGTGAATGAACAGAGTCAGTAGCTGGTTCGTTCCTCTTTTGCCCAGGACTGTGACTGTTTTCGCTGTCAAGCATTTCTTTCCTTTCGCGCGGTGCACCGTACGCGCAGCGGGCGAGGAGAGAATCTTTGCATGGCTGCATGCCGCTGATGAGAAGCATGTGAATGGATAGTTGTTTTTTTCCGAGTTAAAAGCATCAGGAGTCCTAGAACTTGCTCTCAATGTGATGCTTTAGTCCTACAACTTGAATTTGACCCTATCCAATCCCTCAACTTGCATAAGATGTGCAAATTTGGTCCTGACGAATCAGAGAGCGCCATGTGGATGTGTGGGTGCATACCCGGTCAGCGCGTGCTCTTTTGCAAAGAGGCCCCTGGCATTGCTGTGAATCAACCCGCACAGATGAGCACTTATCTGATTCTCATGTTATGGTGCATACCCGGTCAACCCGTACTCAAGGACATGGTGCTGAAGCTGTCGGGCACGCAGAGGCAGGGGGTGCCGAATCGGGGCGGCTCGCCGCCGCCGAAGGGCCGGATGACGTCGTTGTACCGGAGCGGGTACTACTGGCCGGGCGTGGTGCAGGACGACATGGCGATGCCGCCGGCCACGTACCTGGGCCACGGCGCCGGGGACGGGGGCGGCATGGCGGCGTCGAGCGCGAGCTCCACGCCGGCGTGGGAGCGGCCGCCCAACGGGGGACAGGGCGAGGCGGCGTTGCGGGAGTGGGTGGCGCAGGTGGAGCCCGGGGTGCAGATCACATTCGTGTCGCTGGCGGGCGGCGCCGGCAACGACCTGAAGCGCATCCGATTCAGCCGGGAGATGTACTACAAGTGGCAGGCTGTGACTGTCACTGCATGCAGGTGTACCATGTTCATGTTGACAACCATTTACAATGCTTGACTTGAGTATGTTTAGTCCTCATTTTCTCTGCATGCAGAACATGTTGTTTCAGTAGTAATGCTCTTTTATTTATATGTCCATTTGTTTATTTATTTATTATGCAGTGCTAATAGGCATACAACTAACATGGCAATATCCTAGCACTGCAACAATCACCAATGTACACAGATCAGTAATAATCTTATAGACTAATAACAAGACCGGTACAGTTCTGTGCATCAAAGAAATGTGCTACATACAGGCATACAGTAAATATGATGAATCCACCAGAAATCATAAGCACATACCACATGTACAACTGCTACCCAAATGAACTAAGGCAAGGGACATAAACACCACGAGCCCGCAAACTGGATGCACCCCTGTCACGCGGTTTTCTTAACAGTAATCTTGATAAAATGTGAAGAGAAGTGATCTAAAACATGACCAGACTCGGTGTCAAACCTTGATACTGGGAGGATTAAGAGATTACTGTTTGTAGAGGGTTGGATCAAAATGTGATCTGAGGTTTGACGTGGTCTTAGATCACTCCTCTTCACATTTGCCAAGGGTTGTAATAATACCAACCAAGACACACTGGGAGCCTGATTCACAACAACGCTAGGGGCCTTTTTGCAAAAGAGCACGCGCTGACCGGGTATGCACCCACACGTTCACATGGCGCTCTCTGATTTGTCAGGACCAAATTTGCATATCTTATGCAAGTTGAGGGACTGGGTAGGGTCAAATTTCAAGTTGTAGGACTAAAGCATCACATTGAGAGCAAGTTCTAGGACTCCTCGTGCTTTTAACTTTTTTTTCTTTCCGATTCACATGTCATTCTGTTGACTGTTCTGGTAGTGGAGTGGTTACGCGTGCTATTATTGCGCTCGCCTTGCCACCACCGTGATACAGCTCGCTCAAACGCGGATGATCTTTATTTATTTATATTTATAGTAATAAACGCGGCTTCTAGTTCTCTTGAATACTCAAAATCTGCAGGCAATTACCTGGCTTGAGATGCGCCACAACCAAGACGGCGGACGGCCGGGCCTCGCGTTTCCCTGCTGTACCCAGACTGCAATGCAAAGACGGAGTCCACCCAGGTGTGATGGCTCATGGCTGGCAACCCAAATGGTTCCATGTAGGAGTAGTATGTATTGTACGCCGTACGCGTGTGACACGGCCAGAGTCTATGTGCACCGAGCAGCCGCCGTTTTGGTCCCCTGAATTGGACGCATTCTGCGTCAAACAACCGCGCGACGCATGCACGGAAACCCCGACTGGGCCGGCCCAATAGTGGGCGCGCCTGTTTGCTTGTACAGTAGCGCTGCGATGTTCGTCTCAAAAGAAAAAGTAGCGAAAATAAAGGGCGCTTCTGCCAGGATTCGACCTCTTGACCTCCAACTCGCGTTCAAAAGGAGCTACCCAGTAGACCTATCAAGTGTTGGTTGTAAAAACGTGAAGCGTGCTGGTATAAGAACTAATACCAATGAAGAATCTGGACAGTTTTTTTAAAAAAAAACCAAACTTTCCTTTAAATAGTTATTTTTTAACAAACGAGCAATGTTTCAAAATACGATAGATTTTTTAACAACTCGGACATATTTTCAAATTTCAGAAAATAAAACAAAAGACGTGAACATTTTCGACAGATTTTTTTAAAAAATTCCTGAATTTTTTTCGAAAACCTGAACCTTTATAGAATCTTGAGAACAAAAGTTTGATAATGGGAACAATTTTTCAAAAGCGCAAACTTTTTTGAACGTACGATTACACAAACAAATTTTTGAACCGGAATTAGTTACTGTAGTGAACAACATTTTGAACGTACGATTACGCAAACAAATTTTCTGAAAACGAGCAAAATTTGAGTTTCTCAATCATTTATGGAATTTGTGACATTTCCTTAAAGCACAAACATTTTCTGAATCTTGAGAACAAATTTTGAAACGGAGAACAAATTTGGAAGCGTGAACAATTTTTTAAAGCACAAAACATTTTTGAATCTTCAGAACAATTTTGAAAAATCCCGAACAAATTAGCGCGAACAATTTTTTAAAGCACGAACATTTTTTGAATCTTGAGAACAATTTTTGAAGTGTGAACAATTTTTTAAAGCACACACATTTTTTATTCTTGAGAACAATTTTGAAAAATCCCAAACAAATTTGGAAGAGCAAACAAGTTTTTAAAGCACAAACATTTTTTAATCTTGAGAACAATTTTGTAAAATCCCGAACAAATTTGGAAGAGCGAACAATTTTCTAAAGCACAAACATTTTTTGAATCTTGAGAACAATTTTGAAAAATCCCGAACAAATTTGGAAGAGCGAACAATTTTTTAAATCACGAACATTTTTTGAATCTTGAGAACAAAATTTGAAATAGAGAACAATTTTGAAAAATCCCGAACAAATTTGGAAGCGCGAATATTTTATGAAAACGTAAACATCTTATGAAATCTGGTACATTTTCTGCATTTCGAAAGTTTTGAACTTTTTTGTGTAACGAGAACAAATTTTGAATTTTGAGAACATTTTTCGAAAACTGAACTTTTTATAAAAAATACAATTTTTTTGAATATTTTGAATTTATTTTGAAGAAAAGATAAGAAATAGAAAGAAAACAAAAAAGTCAGGAACATTTTTCGAAGTTGTGAACAAAATTTTGAAAATGCGAACACTATTTCAAAAATATGAACAAATTTTGACAAAAAGAACATTCTTGAAAATTCTAAACCATATTTGAAGTTTTTGAAAAGCTTTAAAAGAAAAAGGAAAAAAAATAAAAAGAAAAAACAAAGAAAACGAGAAAAAAGAAATAACAGAATAAGATTGTGAAGAAAAACCAGAAAGAACCAGTAGAAGGAACTGGTTTTAAGTTTTATCGTCGCTTTCAGTTTCTTTAAGTT